GAGTCGAAGAAATACATGCTGGCAGTAGTGCTGGGTGCTGGAAGGACGTACCGTCATCCATGTCGAATGTCGTAGTTGCTGGAGCTGGATAAGATGGTTGTAGCGGTGCAAGGTGGATTGTGGTGGCTCAGTGGCTGAAGGATTGTGACTCTGCGACTCGGAAGATGAATGTTCCCGTTATTTGAATAATAATTGGATACAAAGGAAAATAATACCTATTAAGAGATATACAGCTTTGTATAGATAACTATTCTACTACTAGAATATATTTATATTTATATACTACTCTATAGTTGATTTTTCAGAACTATACACTTATAATACTATTATTCTACTATTAAACACAGTTATTAAGTAATATATGTTATTATAGTACTATTATACTACAGTTCTACTATACTATCAAGTAATATATAATACTATATATTTATACAATTATAATACTATTCATTATAACCTTATACAATATTATATAGTACTATAGTCTTATACAGCTACTGTACTATTAATTGTACAGCTATTTGAAATTATATAGTATTATAGTCTTATACAGCTATTATACTATTAACTATACAGTTATTTAAGATTATATACAGTTTTAAGTTACTATAGAACTATATATAAATATGGGTTTTTCTGGTTTTCCTGATGTACTCTTTACTCTTTTAGCTTAATATAAGTGTTAGTACTAAGTACACATTATTATTATTATTAACATTGATTGTCTGTATTGTTTTAATACAATTTATATCTTTCATAACTTTATAATTTGTGTTATAAACAAATAAAATTTATAGTATAAAAAGGTAGTAGATTGTTTACTTTTAGTAATAAACTCAGTCAAAATACACACAAACAGAACCTAATTATACACCATACTATACACTGATCCAATCTTTCTAGCACCCTGTACTGATGTGAATATTTTGTGTCCACCATCATTATCTGACAAAACAATAAGGTCGAGAGGTTCATCTAACCCAAACCAATCCAATACTCCAGTTTTAATTTCGTGAGGGACCATCTGAACGGTTGCTTGAATGAGCACTATACAATGTTTTGGTAATTTGGGCTCATAGAACCATACATCAAAGGCTGGGTTATTAGACGCTCTAGGGACATACATTGCAGATTTAGAGTCTGGCAATGTGTCACTAGGGTTGTAGTCAATACACTTCACTTCTGCAAAGTCCTTCTGCTTGTAATTGGTCTTGATGCCCTTACTAATCTTTATTGAGGAACCTTTGTGTCCAGTGAGCAAAGTGAAGGACGGGGCACCTGTATGTCTCCCCCAATACTGCTTAGTCTTATCAGCCCCAATGGGAAGCTTCTTCATAGAATGAAGGCGCCAATATCCACCTTTCTGAAGAGCAGCAAAAGCAGTTGTCTCTAATAGATACCCTGCAGCTACTCTGGTTCTAGGACTCCCCAAGAAAATGCGATAGAGTTTGAGAGCCTTCGCGTGTGATAGATGTTTGAAGTGCTTGATGACAATCTGCACTACCTTATTCGAGGCAAACTCGCAAACGTACTCAGTACGGTCGTTGTCCATAGGCCTTGCAATAATTGTGTTGTGAGAGAATTTGGTGTCGAAAAAGCCTGCACCTAGATCGGAAATTGCACGTTGAAGTTCCTTCCAATGAATGTTGGACAGATTCGCCCTAATCTGCCTCTCGTGTTGGCCTGGATCGTCGGCAAGCATGAAAGCTGGACGAGTAATCGGACCGTAGTCGTTACAAAAGCTCTGTAGTTTAAGTTCTGGCATTGGTATCAGCTGAACAGACCGTCTATCAGAATTGTTAATAACATGTAACCATTTCAGATTGGCTGAGCATAATGACCCACATCTCAAGAATCTCACGGAAATCAAACAAGTCACACCATACAGATTTCACCCTCAGCTCTTTAGACTGCCAGAAGGTAAATCGATAGTCTCGAGGAGACGCTGCAAAGATAATCTTTCGAGAATACAACGTGCATGCGTCGAAAAACGCTTGTGGCGGAGAACTGACGTGCTGATTGCTATCCACGAGGAACCATGTATGTTCAGGCAGGAAGAAGAGCTCTGGATTCATCTCCTTGGATTTATGTACTCCAGCCTTGTCAAAAATCAAGAATTCGCCCTTGCGACAATGAAAAACAGTTGTTTGTCGTGTGAGAAGGCGTAATGCAAGCACATACAAAAGAAACAAGCTTTTGCCTGAGTTGCCGATTAGTACAATGCAAAAACGACAATGAAATGATTCTCTCACCGGTGCCAGGAGTTCCTGTGATAGCAACGCCTGAGTTGCCAATTAGTGTAATGAAAAAACAACAATGAAGCGATTCTCTCACCATTGCCAGGTGTTCCTGTGGTAACAACGCCCATTTTCAGTGCCTGCTCAGTCGATACAACATTTAAGCCTATGAAGGGATTGTGCAGAGGAAAAATCAACGCATCCCCTATCTTCGGATCCGGTTTGTAGCCTGTTTGTTCGCCCCAACCCTGGCCAAAGTACGACCAGATCCACACCAACAAATCAAAATACACCCGTCGCACAACGACTTTATAGCATAGAAAGGAAGAGCGAAGGTAGACTGGTATCTCCCCATCAACGAGCCATTGCAACACACACACTTTGTCTGCAGTCTCTGCATCTGCACGAATCTCTGGTCTATCACGAACAACGTCAAGCAATGTGAAGACTGCATATGGGTCCTGCGTTCTCCAGGTTTCGTTGTACAGTACGGCCAAAGATCCAGAGTGGGAGTTCCCTGGTTCGACCAATTCCACGTCAGGGAGATAGGCTGACAGGTGAGACATAGTAGTTAGTTTGGTAGACACTGTCAATTCTGATAGTGAGAACAGAACCAAGCTGAGGGTGGGTTGTGGGGATGTGCCTTTTCAGTAGGCTCCCTTTTTCCCTTGTGCGACGCGGACATTCTCACGGTCCCCCAAAAAGACAGCAGATCAGTTAAGTAAGCAAGTAGGTTGGGCTCAGAAAAGCTATAGTGGGTGACTTCCTGTAGACTTTTGGAAGGATTTCCAGGTTGAAAAGATACTAGAAAAGGAGTAGTCTGAATATAAGTGAAGGGTAGTAAGAGTAAGCAATATGAGAACTGAATAACACACATAATTTGTTGTCTTCCAGTCTGAAAATCTGTAAGAGGGGTCTGACCCCCCCTTTCAGAGTAGAAAGTCGTTCTATCCATCAAGTACCTGCCTTAAAAGGTATAAGTAAGATCATACAGATCTTATCTATACCCTTTTTGTACAGAAATGTGTCAGATGTTGTCTTAAGTAAAATAGAATCAAAATGATTTAACAACTACAGAAAAATGTGCTACAGTCTGGAATAACTTTTTTTTATTTTACTTATAAGACAGGTACAAGTATTTTGGATTTTGGAAGCTTCCAAAATCCTACAGGAAGTCACCCAGTTTGTAACAGTTGTGTCTTTTTCAGTTGTGTCTTTTCTGTATTCAGACTCTAACTCTTATAACCTTATTAGGGATGACTCTAAGTTATATAATAATGTATGTAGTTAAATAATGATCTACTACATTATATAAGGATCTCCTCAATTATATAATATACTTGTAAATTATTATATGGTGAAGTTATTGTAAAAACATAATAAATTAATAAAAATGACTCAATAAATGTTTAAATTGTGAATGTTGTAATCTGACAGAGTATTATTAATAAATAGTACAAAATAATACATAGGGTAACATATATTTTTACTAATAAAATGAATAAGGGAACATAATAACAATATTCTATGTATGTATTAGGGATCCAACTCCTTCTGAATGTTGTAGTCTGTCTATGTTGAGTCTGTATCCTTGTAAGAGGCTTGTTGTATACTTTTAGTAGTAGGAACTAATGTGTGAGCTGTGTTGTTTGTCTGTTGTAAAGTACCTGGCAAAAGAGTATTATAGTACTTGGAGGGATTTAGTGTACTACTGTGAGCAGAGTTTGTAGGACTTGGAAGACATGTTGACACAACTTGTGTGATAGTATTGTATGTCTGTTGTATAGTACTCAACAAAAGCAGGCTCTAGTAACCAGACAGATTTGATACATCCTTACAAGCAAAGTTTGTAGGACTTAGAAGGAGTATAGACACAGGTTGTGCTTGCATCTGTATTAGTAGTTAAAACATGTTCATTTTGTGAATTTGTTAACAATAAGGTATAATGTCTGAGTAGCTAGCACACACAGGCATGTTTACTTAAACAGGAATGAAAGGTCTAGTAAGGTTTTGACTACTATTGACAAACTGTTAGTACAGCTAGATTGTATGATTGACTTTTAATTCTTCTTAGTAGTCTAGTATGTTCTGTAGGGGCAAACTAACAAACTAGAGTAGAGTAGTTAGCTAATGATTTAAAGGGCTCTTAACTTAAGACTCACTAGAGTATTCTACTAAGTACTAGAGTATACAGTTAGGGAATAGTATATAGACTGTGCCTGTTTACTAGTACTTTAGCTACTAGGAACTAAAGATAGTAGTTTGAGCTTCTTTGTGTCTGACTAAGCCTTTGTTCTACTTTGAGTACCTGTGTTGTAAGGATCCAGGTATTTATGTTTTAGTCAAGTCTTTTTAAGTAGTAATTAAGATTCAAACACTTCTTAAAAATTAGTGTAGGTCCTCTTATTAGATAGTACCTTAATTGAGAGAGGCATTTTAGTACCTTTAGAGCTTGTAAGTAAGTTCTTAATAAGGTTGTCTACTTTAAGCAATTCTTCAATATTAATTAGACAACTAGAAGTAAGTATAACAGTCTAAAGAGAGGTAGTACTATAAGTAATTTATAAGAGAATGTGTTACAGTTCTCTACTCTCTTACCTTCAGTTCTAAGGGTTCTGCACCCTTCTGTACCAGAACTCAGGACTTCTGTCCCTCAGGAGTACTGTCTATAGACTATATGTGTGCTGACTCTTACTACTACCCTTCCTTACTTTATCATTCCATTCCTTTGACCACCCCTTCATTCTCTGTTCATTCTATAGTCTCTTACCCTTTGTTCATCTCTTCATTCTTTGTACCTTTATCTTTGACATTCCTTTCTTTCATTCTTTGTAGCTTATCATTCTTAGTAGCTCATACTCCCTGAGTACTCTTGTGTAGTTTAGTATATATAGGTGTACAAGATCAGACTGGTCCTGTAGTCTTGATCTTGTCTACTCTAGGTAGTCCTGTACTCTTAGGCTCACTCTATATACTCTACTCTTGTCTCACTCTCTCTCTCTGCCTGTTCTACAAGTTCCAACTATGTTCTAGTACTCACATTCTATATTTCTGTTGTGTAGAATAGTTGTAGCCTGGGTCCTCTTACTGAGCCTTTGGGTCCCCTCTACACTGTTACTAATATCAGATTAAGACTACTCATTACCACCCTACAACTCTTCTACATTTCAAGTATTAGTACTTACTATTGTGTCAATCTCTTTTCTTTACTCTAACCCTTTTACATTTTTAAATTTTAAACTTTTTAAACCTATTTAAACTTTTGCCACCCTTCTTCTATTCATTACCCCTTTTAGTTTAGTGCCAATTCCTTTGTAGTGTAAACATGAACCCTTCTACACTAACTGTCACCCCTACTGTCCTGCCAGATTAGTAGTTACAAGCAGAACTAGCTTAATATGTGTAGACCTCTATCTAAGAGGCCTTTGTTAACTACATGCCCCCAGCCCCTTCAAAACCTGTTCTAATTGTTCTGGAAGTCACAACCTGTTCTAGAAAGAAAGTGTATGTAGCCTGCCCTTCAGACTTTAATGGGTAGCACTTTAAGGACTTCTAGTACTAAGTTGAACTATATGTGACTACTGCTTCAACTAATCTATCCTCAGATCTCAATCATGTCCTATTTGTCCTCTCCTTCATGAAGGAAGGTAACACAGCCACCTGGGCCTACAAGCTTGTTCTACACATTGTACTTCTTATTTAGATTGATATTAGATTATGCTCTGGATTAGGAAATCCCCAATTGCCTTATGTAGAATTACTGCTCTTAGAATGTCTCAGATTATTGGACTTCACTATGTAGTATATAAGGTAGATACTTGCTTGATGTCTCAATAAGAGAGAGTACTTAGGACACTCCTGCTACACTTGTTAAAAGGTTATGAGCCTTGGTGCCTATTGAATGCCCTTATACACTCACTCTTACAGAATGCCTTTGCCTCCTGCCAGACCACCAAGCCTAAGACCTCCCTCTCCCCCCAAACTCATTACAATGTTGTCTACAATGCATACCTTTGTTAACACTACAATGAAGGACTCTAACGTTACAAAGTTCTTTGAGGGAACAGAAAAGTTAGCTGGTGTGAAGGGATACAAGATATGGTGCTTGTGTATACACAGTGCACTCACTACCATGATGCTCTTAGACCATCTAGAGCACAATCCCCCTTCCTCTAATGATGCTAGCATACATACAGGCAATGTTTTGTATCATTGTATAATGAAAACAATAACTGATACAATTTATACAAACTTCACAATGTATACAAGTGTTAGAAGTCTCATGAAGGTGCTTTCTGAACAATACAATGTTTAAACAATGATGACACATACTGTAGACATATCCACATTGTTTACAGTAAAAGAGTATGTATCACAGTTTGATAAGATGTTAGACAACATCAAACAAATCTACAAGCAGTTGTCTGCACATAATAAAGCCCCTAATAACAATACATACATCTCAGCAATTAATCTTGCTACTCCTTGTGAGTATAGATGGGTAGCAACAATGCTAGACAGACAGATTACCTATTATAATCAACTACCAACAGTTACAGCAGCTCAGAAAGACGTTCTGATACCAGCTAAGCTGATACACAAATTACAAAACATATATACTGAGTATCATTCTCAGTACTCTCAAACAAAACAAGATACTGAATGAGACAGCCTACAAACAAAAGGCAAAAGTGTAGCTAAAGGCAAAACAAAGCCTTACAATAAAGTTAAATGCTACAACTGTAACAAGTACAGGCATATGTCAAAAGACTGCCAAAATCCACTAACGAGCAAAACAACAGAAGCTTGAAAGAAAAAGTATAGGCAAACAGCTACTGCTTCTACTACTACTACTACACTGTCTCAACCTACACTTAATGTAACAGTATTCATTGGAGACAATAACAAAACAGTATTCATTGAAGACGTTAATGAAACACTAATGCTAGAGTCTGTAATAGCAGAAGCCTCAGTATCAAGTTCCAGCAGCTTACCTGTTCAATCCACTCTATCCACTGAATCCAATGTATTTTCAGCATTCAAAGTACAAGAAGAAGGTGTCATACAAGTAGACAATTTCATGAACTCATTTGACAATGCAAAAGAAGTCATTGAAGAGTTCAATTACAATCCAAACGTATGTATCAATACAATACGTTGCAATGATACTGAACTAATACATTGTATTGATATATTGGACTCTAGTACAAATGTACACACTACTCCATACTTGTTCTGTCTTACAAACGTTTGGAACTCGACCCTAATAAACATTACAATTGTGAATAAATTGTCATTCTCACTTAGCAAAAGTGGAGTAATGACATTTAATGTAAAACTACAAAACAAAGCCAATGAGCATACAAAGGTGAATATGATTTCACTACAAAACATATACTATCATCCCAATCTGAACTTCACACTTGTTAGTGAAGCACTATTATGCAAAGCAGGATATGTTTTAATAAAAACAAACAATGAATGTATTATTTATTCTCCTGCTCATACAAAGATTAGTGAAATACATGTACAAAATAACTTGTATATGATAGTTTCTCATTATAATAAACAATCTATTAACACAATCACTATTGTTGATTTACATCAACGAAT